AGAGAGAGAGAGAGAGAGAGAGAGAGAGAGAGAGAGAGAGAGAGAGAGAGAGAGAGAGAGAGGCACACACACACATGCACACACACGCACACACACACACACACAGACAAAGAGAGAGAGAGAGAGAGGCCCATCGATACTTCCGTTCAAATCGGAATAATACAGAGAAGATTAACATGGCTGCTGCGCAAAGATGGCACACGTCACTTGAGAAATGGTTCAAAAAGAGAGAGAGAGAGAGAGAGAGAGAGAGAGAGAGAGAGAGAGAGAGAGAGAGAGAGAGAGAGAGAGAGAGAGAGAGAAGGGTGGCAAGGCTGGTGGTCACTCACCTATGGAAGCCTTTGCTGCCTATGGCCTGCTGCCTATGGCCTGCTGCCTGAAGCCTGCTGCTGCAAGGGAGCTATGGAAGACGATGGCGGGTTGAGAGGGTTGAAGACGTTAACGCACGGATGGTGGGGTTGACTCCGGAGCAGTAAGGCTAGAGCAGGCCGACTGTGGACCCTGCCAACGTTCGAAGTCGACATTTGAAGTCAAATTCAAACGTTGGGACAATTTTTTTTTGGGGGGCTTTGGCGCGCCCCGAGAACAATTTTCTGCAGGCTCGGTTCAATTTTTCCCCAGACCATGGAGATGATTTGGACCCCCCCCTCCCCCGACTTTGTTTTTCTTCGGTGACCCCTTATGTCCACCATGCGGCGCACGTTGTGTGCGCGCTGCGCGATGTGGCTCTTGTGCTCCAAACCCATTTTCTGAACTCTTGAGCTCGTTTTTTCTTTTCTCCACTATTAATTTCTGATTCCCTGTTCGGTGCACTAATGAATTATTTTTGTGCGGGTGGGGAGCTGGGGGTTTAAGGAGGAGAGCTCTACTCCGCAGGGGCTTGACAAGGTGGGGGGTGACATGCCCTGGAGGGAGTGGGGGCAAATTTTTGGGGGATGCCCTATTCTGGGGCTGAGAGAGATGTATGGGTTGACATCATATCCCAGCGGAGGCAGATAGGGGTGAGGGGTTGGCTAAGGCATACTTTGGGTGAAACTGGATGCCTTAGTGGAAGTAGGGGGAGGAAGCAGGGATGTCCCAAGTTGGAGCCCATAAGGAGAGCTTGTGATCAGAGCAGTCCTTTTCGGTAGAGGCAGCGGAGGGATAGGGGGAGATGGAGGGGAGGGGGAATAAATTATCCATAGGAACGTCCAAAATTCTGATTCTCCTCTCAAGCATATACAAATTACTTCTGGTGGGGGGGTGGGTTGGTTTTAAGGAGGAGAGCTCTACTCTGCAGGGGCTTCACAAGGAGGGAGGTGATTGCCCTGAAGGGAGACGGGGCAGATTTTGGGGGATGCTCTATTCTGGGGCTGGGGGAGATGCATGGGTCAGCATCATATCCCAACGGTGGCAAATAAGGGCAAAGGGTTGGCAAAGGCATACTTTGGTTGAGAACTGTATGCCTTTGTGGGAGTAGGGGGGGGAAATGGGTCTGTCCCAAGTTGAGGCCGATGAGGAGTGTTCGTGATTAGGGGCGATCCTTTTTGGTGGAGGCAGCGGTCAGGCAGGGGGATGAGGGGAAAGGGGGGAATTTTTATATCCTTTGCTTGTATTTGGTTGGAACTCTTTC